ATAGCTGAGTGGATTGGTCAGCTGGTGAATTGGCGTTTCTGTCCTAGTTCCCCAAACAAAGTGAGGTAACTCAGGCTTTTGGGGGCTTTCATCTCATGAGGACAGTCATAGGTTTCATAAAACATACATAAGTAAGAAATAATCACATATGAAGACAGCCGCTTATAATTAATCTTAAATTGTTTGATAAGCACCAATTTAATCTCATTTTCAATAATCTTTTGCTAAATTTGGCACAATTTTATGAGACAAATGATCAAGGTGAACTGGTGCTGTGTGCCTCTTAATTTTACTTTTCACCCAGTCCTTCAGAGGAGCATATTTTATTTTGTATTAGGTAATGGTTTGTGTACTAAATAAAGTATTTACATTCTCAAAAGCCCTGCTTATGAACAGCATACAGTCCAAATATAATTGATATTACATAATATATACACCACATAAGCTGCCTCTTGCTTAGTGACTGCTTAGTTCCTACTAGTTCTCCCCACGTACAGGAACTTTATTCCCAGAATGCCTTTCTGGATTGGGCCTTTACATTTGGCAGAGACAAGCAGCCACAGTCCTAAAGTGGCTATTCTCTAATTAGATGCTGCTTCTTTCTTTCTTCCAGCTGGTAAGTACTCATAATTCCTATTACATTTTCCTCTAATTTTCCTTTTCTTATTCCAGAGGAGAGAGCATCTTTACACGGAATACTTGTTAAATTATTTTGAAATTTCTTGCTTTTTTTTTAACATCTAAAGTAAAACTTTGTTTCTCACTTTTACCTGTCACGTACCTATTTTTTTTTTTTTTGTATTATTGTATATTTGTTTGTTTTAATGTGTCTCAAATAGGGAACAAGTCTTAGGACGTTCATCGTTTGAAAGTAAGGTGTGCTTAGCAGGTGCAAACTTGAAAACTTAAACTCCTGCTTTTAAACATAAAATAAACAATACCTTTCCATCACTCCCTTTGGTTGGTATCAGTCTACAAGTTATTTCCTCCTGTGTAATAAACCGATAGCAAACCTTTGAAATGATGTTGCAGGTTCTTCAAGGAACAGTTTCCCTTTTTATTTCTCTCTCAATACATTTGACAGTACATCATCTTCCCCTTGAAATTACCCCCAGCAGAGCATTTCAACTATTTCATTCTGCATTTTTCTGAAGGCATTTTTTTTTTCTACAAGCTCCTATAGCAGTTTGGTTATTATGAAGAGTAATAATAGTAATTAAAAAGCCCTTCTCGTCCAAAGCTCCTTACATACACTAATGCATGTGATTTAATTTTAGGCCCATGAATAGTCCCATTGAATTCACATTCAGCAAGATTACTCTCACATGCAGAATTAAGTACCTATATACGTGCTTACAGGATGGTGATCTTAAGCCTCTGTAACAGCCAAAGAGGAACATATTGCTGTGTAAGAAAGACTAAAGAAAGACAACTAATGGTCATTACTATTTCTCTGTTTCTTTGTATATGCATTTCTAAGGTAGTCATCATTGCATTATCTAGACACCATCACTTACATTAAAAAGAACAATAATGGTCTTCCACAATGGGAAACCACTTCTCCACCCCACTCCTATGCTTTAAGACATTTTCTTGGGAACATAAAAATAGCCATACTGGGTCACACTAATAGTCCATCTTGCCCAGTATCCTGTCTTCCAGCAGTGGCCAATGCTAGATGTTTAAGAGGGTATCAATAGAACAGGGCAATTACTGAGTGATCCATCCCAGTATCTGGCAATCAGAGGCATAGGGACAACTAGAGCATATGTTGCATCCCTGACCATTTTGGCTAATAGCCATTAATGGACCTGTCCTCCATGAAATCATCTAGTTCTTTTTTTGAACCAGATTACACTTTTTGTCCTTCACAACATCCCCTGGCAACGAGCTCCACCGGTTGTGCGTTGTGAAGAAGTATTTCCTTTTGTTTGTTTTAAACCTGCTGCCTGTTAATTTCATTGGGTGACTTCTTGTGTTATGTGAAGGGGTAAATAAGATTTCCCTATTCACTTTTTCCACCACACCTTTCATGATTATATAGACCTGTATCACATCCCCCTTTTTAGTTGTCTCTTTTTTTTTTTTTAAAGATGAACAGCCCTAGTCCTTTCAGTTTCTCCTCATATGAAACTGTTCCATATCCTTAGTCATTTTTGTTGCCCTTCTCTGTAACTTTCCCAACTCTAATATATCTTTTTTTGAGATGGGGTGACCAGAACTGCATGCAGTAGTCAAGGTGTGGGGTGCCATGGCTTTATATAATGGCATTATGTTATTTACTCTTATTATCTATCCCTTTCCTAATGGTTCCTAACATTGTTAGCTTTTTTGACTGCCACTGCACAATGAGCAGCTATTTTCGGAGAACTATCCACAATAACTCCAAGATCTCTTTCTTGAGTGATATCAGCTAATTTAGACCTCATCCTTTTGTATATGTGGTTGGGATTATGTTTTCCAGTGTGCATTACTTTGCATTTATCAACATTGAATTTCATCTGCCATTTTGTTGCCCATTCACCCAGTTTTGTGAGATCCCTTTGTAACTCTTTGCAATCTGCTTTGGACTTCACTATCTTAAGTAATTTTCTATCATCTGCAAACTTTGCCACCTCACTGTTCATCCCTTTTTCCAGATCACTTATGAATATGTTGAACAGTATGTTACCCACTTAATTTAGGGCACCCCGCCTATACCCTACCGAGAGCTCAAGGCGTGACCTGGTCAATTTATGGCACCCTGCCTATACTCTATGGGTCTGTGGAAACTTTTCCTTGGAAAGAGCCTTACACAGTTGTGCTCTAAACCTCTATTTGTTATCAACACACACAAATAAATATATATATATATACACCAACAAATACCTTATCCTCACCACTCCCTATATACAGACAAATTTCATCTGATGACCAGTCAGGATCCACTCATCTGGGGGTTCCCAGTGATGCCTCTACACATCCCGGTCACGTAGAGGGGTCAGAGTTCCAGCAGCTTGATGTTGCACTGTTGTCCGGAAATGGTTCCCAAAGAGCATTGTTTTTCATTTACATTATGTGTGTAAAACAATCACATTATCCCACACTCCTAAATAAAAATTTTAACCAATTACATACTGGCACCTATGTGTCCTTCTTTCTGCCCAAGTTTTTTTTACATTTTATCTTTCATGCCCAGATTATAACAAATTATTAGTTGTGACCTTCTCAGTTTATGCAGATGGTCAACATAAAAACACTGGTTAGAGCTTATTTTACCATTTATTGAGTCTCTCTCTCTCTATCGTCCCTAATTTCCTAGTGCCTGGGTGTCTCTACTTTATAACCTTGGTGGTTTTAACACTCGTTAGGGACATTCCTCTGATATGGGCGGGGTGCTTTATGAGCATCAGAACAATTTTTTTTTTTTTTAAATTTTACTGTGTACCCCTGGTTGAGAACCACTGTTCTAGGTCAAGGCATAGTAATCCAATCTAAAGGTGACAAAAGGATGGATTGCTGTGGCTCAGAAGTGCAGAGTGTACTAGAATTGGCTGTGGGTGTCTCCTCTGGTGGTTGTAATGACTTCCATCAGCATGCAGGGATTGTAGTTCAGCAATGATGTTATTAAAGGATTTTCTTAATGGCGATGGCCCTGATTTTGCCACTGTTTCTGACCTTGAAATTATGCTGGATCGTCCTGTTAAAGTATTGTTTACACCATGGGATACTTCTGGGGGAATTCTGCACCACTGTGCACACACATTTCATGTGCCATGCATATTTTAAATATTTTTTGCAGAAAATAGCTTCTGCTGAAAAGTTGCTGAAGTTCCACGATTTGCTCACCAGAGGGTGCTGTGGCACTAGAACAGAGCAGCAGCTCCTGCTAAGCCCCAGCTATGATAGGGAAAAGGAAGAGCTTGCCTTCTTCACAGTGCCTGTCGGGCCAGGTCAGAAGATGGAGTCTATGGAGAGAGAGACAGCGTGAGGCTGCTGGGGGGTTAGACAGGGGCTCATAAGGGCTAGTGGGGGAGAACAGACTGGGGTAGTTGCTGAATGGGAGTAGAGATGCAGGGCCACATGGGCGGGGTACGTGTGTGGAGAGCTACAGGGGGTAAGAGAATGGCTGAGTGGGGGCCCAGAGACACACGGTGACAGGGGCAGATGTGCCTGACCGAATGGGAGAGGCTAGGGGTCAGCCAGGGTCTGCATGGGGACGCTCCCTAACAATCCTTCCCCACCCCCCCAAAAAACCTGTTCCATGCTTTTCCCACACATACCCAACAACCCTTCAAGTTCATACCCTGGCTCCTTCCCAGCAATTACTTCCCTCTCCCTCAGCTCCTCTGTTATCCCTGACTACCCCAATCCTTTGCACCGCTTCTGAGGGGTGCGGGAAATACGGTTCTGTACTGTAGTTTAAGTGAATTATTACTCAGTTCTGTATTAATATATGCCTAGTAAAGAAATCTGTTTGTCAAAAAAAAATTCCTGAAACTTTTTTGTTGTCTGTATTGTTACATACATACTTGCTGACAGATATTTTGAAATAAATTACTAAAATAATTGAAACTGGTGTGATTATATTGTGTTATTTTGACAAATAAAATATGTTGAATTTTGAAGAAATTTGAAATATTTGTTTACAGATTTTTTAAAAATTTTTTGGTGCAGAATTCTCCCAGGAAAAATGTGAGTAAGTGTTGCTGAATTGGACGCAAAATTAGCAAGTCTTAGTCATGAGGACAGGTCTTGAGTGTGAAACACTTATTTATATCATACAATGTTGTATAACGTCAGAAAGCAACACAGATTAAACCATGCTTTTTGCCTTAAAAATCCCAGTTTTTTCTCTTTGTTTATGATGATAACTCATCCCAAGTTGTAAATGGAGATTCAAAACTAACTGCATAATACCACTAAAATTTTATGGTTGTATTTTAGAAAATGAGACCACACAGGTTTCTGAGATGACTTTGTTTGTTTGTTTGTTTGTTTTTCCCTTTCCGCTTCTTTAGGACTGTTGCACTGGGTTCAATGAGTTAGTGTAGCCTTTTTGTGATGGAGAAGGAGGCAAGCCAGTTGGAGAAGGACCACGTCCATAGAGTGTATGAGAAAATTGCTCCTCACTTCCATGATGCACGCTACAAGGCTTGGCCAAAGGTACAACAGTTCCTTTCAGATCAGGAACCAGGCAGCCTGATTGCTGATATTGGTAAGTTGAGTCCCTGAGTATGACAACTGTTTTAAAAAAAACTATTATTATTTTTTTAGTGTTGATAGTGATCAAAGCCAGGCATGCCTCTTCTCTGTATTAAGCAGTACTTTTTGGCATGGTCAGAGTCACCTTGCCTTAGGCTGCAGGGTTTGAAATGAGTGCTCATCTGCAAATGAGTGTGTTTTGGAGCTGGCAGGTACACTTTTAATCATCATAGCCTGGCTGCCTATCAAATTTGCCTCCTGCTGCCTGCTCTCCCTCTTTCTTCTGTAATGGACCTGCTTCCAGAGCCATCCATACATATGTACAAGCCATGTGGCTGTGCAACTTTTCCCATTACCTACTTGTGAAGGAGTGTACCAGGCCTTTGTGTCCCCTCGCTGGAGGGCCCACGGTTCTACCATACTCTGCCCCAAGAAAGGAGTAGTGAAGATGGGTCCTTCAGGCCTGCCTAGAGAGGCTGCACAGAAGCAGCCAATCTCAGCCCAGCAGTCTCAGCTAAAAGGAACTACAGGGCCTTAGCAGGTCAATAGGACCAAAAGAGCAAGGAAGGATGCTTCTTCCTGGTCACAGGAGCTTGAGAGAACCAGAGGATGGTTTGTGGTAGCATTTGCATTTGGTGAGAAGGAAGAAGATCTGAGAAATTCAGCCCTTAGGTAAGAGTGAAGAAAAAGGGGCTATGTGGGAAAAGGGCCAGGCTAGCAGCAGTGAACTGGAGGCAACTGCTGTTGATAGTGTCTCTGGGTTGGGACCTGGAATAGTGCGTGGGCCCTGATTCTCCCACTGGTGAAGTGATCTAAGACTCAAGAAGGGGACAAGGCTTAGAATCCCAAAGGCAGGGCAGGATTTAAAGGGCCCAGAGATGGGGCTGAAGACCCTGCTGAAGGCAGGCAGTGTGTTGAACTCTTTGCTATCCCAAAAGGGGCTCATCCATTTGACTGTGTAAGTTGGCCAGAGAGCTTAGCCTCTGAAGACCTACAAAGAAAGGCTGACACCCTACTGAAAGCACCAGAGGCTGGAAAGGCCTGCAGTATCACACCCAGCCATAAGGAGGCACTTGGGAGGTGAATGTCCTGTCACCACTATTAAAGGAAAGTATGAAAGGACTAAATAGCTGAATAATGTTGCAAATAATTTTCCCTTTTTTATTTTAAGATGTTAGTGGATATGAAAAGTTTAATATATAGTATAAATAACTCTGGAATTTGACATTTTCAATTTTTCTAAAGTTAAAGCATGGACCGTGCCAGGGCAATTTTCCCTATACTGCCGTGCCAATGTGCTTCCATGCCTGCAGGGACAACAGGTGCTGGCCAGCTGGTATTTTTCCACTGTCCTCCTTCATTCTTTAATAAGTAACATTATCTACAAGGATGCTAACAGTGATATGGACACCTCCCCATTAGAAACTGAACTAAGACCATGGAAGGATTTCACGTTGACCACCAAACAGGAGTCTGATATGGCCAGCTCATGACCTGTGCTGGATTCAAACTAAAAATAAATAGCTTCTCTACTCCTTTTTCAGTTTGCTAAAATCATCTCTCCAGACCCTTTCTTTTTTTCCTTTCAATTCTTAGGGTGTTAATGAAAGTGAAATATCAATAACAATGGCTTGGGCCAAACATGTAATGTCTGATGTTACACAGACTTCTCTACATTGCTCTGTGTGCGTACACTGGGCTTTCTGCTTTACGTGTCTCTGTTATTTCTGAGTGTTCTCATGAATGATTGAGCTAATTTCATAGTGGGTTTTAGTGTATTGTGAACTGTGAAAACATAAGGGATACCGTTCCTCTGGGGCCAGAGACCTGTGACTGGCTGGCTGATTAGCCCCACCTGCTGCACCTGAGAAAGAGTTGGAATTTAATTAACTCACTCTTGGAAAAAGAGGGCAGAAGGAAATGGAGAAGAGGATTGCAACAACCTCCAGAAAGCTGAGGGACCAAGGGCTATGCCCTCAGTAGACTGCTATGGGAGCTATTACACAGAAGAATTGCTCCAGGAACCACATGGACAGAAGGGAGATACAGTAGGGTCTTTTTATTTTGCTAAGCCTCCGAGGTAAGAGCCGGGAAATGTTGGTTACTGAAGTTACTGGTGTGCGGGACAAACTTGGGGAAAAGGACTACTTGGTCTCCACAGACTTTGAAGGAAGAGTCTGCAACGTTTTTTGATTTTTTTAAAAACACTTAAAATAAATCAACTAACCCTGCTGGAAACTGCTTCTTTGGATTAATTGAGAGAGCTCAGACAGAATTAATCCAGGGAGTGAGCTGACTCAGCAAGAGCAAAGCCTGGTCTGGTCGGAGGAGGGCACTATAAAATAGGCCTCATCCTTTTACGTGAACAAATACATAGCATTATGAACCATCAAATTGAATTTTGTCTGTGAAATAAAGAGGATTTGAACTGAGGTCTCCAGAAGTGAAAGGCTATTATATTAACCCAAGGCACTTCACTCCCTTTTCTTAATTTGATCTGTGATTTCAATGACAGTCATTCAAGCAAGAGGTGAGAAGTCACATTTGGTAACTTCTTAGATTTTTTCAAACTATCAGACTTAATAGTATAAGGATTCAGATACCTGAGCCCCAGATGAAAATGTTAGCAGTAAAATAGTTTAAGTTGAAAGTTTTGTTATATTATTTCAACACAGAATTATTGTAGTGTGGGAAGGCTGTACATCTCTACATCAGAAGCATACAGTTATGAAGAAGAAACTGCAGGGAGATATCAGACAAAGAAAGTTCCAGTTGTCATGGCAACAGCAATTAGCAGCAGATAACAAGGAAACAATGGGTTTAACAGCTTGGTCTGATAGTGATTTAATTATTTAGCCTTCTAATTTGTCTGTTTGTTTGAATACACAGGAATAATTCAAGGCTGTGCTGCTGCCATATGATGCTTTAATACAGTATTTTTGGTCTTTTACAAGCAGAAGTGTAATAGCGTCATAACATAAATGTTATTGATTCTGTATGCCACGAGAAAGCCAAGATAAATGCTCTTTAGCAAACCCATCTCATCACTTAACGTCACACAGCAAAGAGCCCACTGTTTGACAGATAGGAACAGTCTGTGCTCATTGTGCTAAAATGATCACAAGCCACAATAAATTCCACTATAATGTCATCTTGGTTTTTTTTTTTTTTAAATGGGCAGAGAATCTCAAATTATTGAGGTCAGACACTGGCACATTTCATTGCTCATGTCAGGAGAATATTCTCTTGCTTATAGAAACTGAAAGACACTCTTTTCTCCTCTTTATTTTACTACTTCAGGCTGTGGAAATGGCAAATACCTTCATATCAATTCTCAAACCTATAAGCTGGGCTGTGATTACTGCTTCCCTTTGGTGGAGTCAGCACGAAATGATGGCCATGAAGTAATGGTGTGTCATAGTCTGTGCCTGCCATATCGGAATGAGTGTTTTGATGCTGTCTTATCCATTGCTGGTAAGTTTTGTACATTGGCAATTTCTGTTGGCCAAAATTTCAAAGGATAATCCTGTTTGGAGCTTTTAGGCTGGCTTCACAGTCTCTGCCAAGTATTTTGGCAGAGGGCAACACAAGACTTTGGTGCATATTTCCTTGGTCCACCCATCTAGTTACACCACTGGAAACCACTCCTCAGTTTGCCAATGCAAAAAGGGGGCTTGCAGTGCTGTTAGTAACTTGCTAGGGTAGGTTTCAGAGTAGCAGTTGTGTTAGTCTGTATCCACAAAAAGAACAGGAGTACTCGTGGCACCTTAGAGACTAACAAATATATTTGAGCATAAGCTTTCGTGGGCTACAGCCCACTTCATCAGGTCCTATTTGGGCTTTTCCCAGTGGTACAAATATGAAATGCTGACCACCTGCCCACAGGAAAATATGATGAAAAGCCACTCAGGAGCCAGCAAAGGAGTCTCTGGTTGTCATAAATATAAAGGGAAGGGTAAACACCTTTAAATCCCTCCTGGCCAGAGGAAAAACCCTTTCACCTGTAAAGGGTTAAGAAGTTAAGACAACCTCGCTGGCACCTGACCAAAATGACCAATGAGGAGACAAGATACTGGAGGGGAAGGAAACAAAGGGTTCTCTCTGTCTGTGTGTTGCTTTTGCCGGGACCAGAGCAGGAATGCAGGTCAGAACTCCTGTAAAAAGTCAGTAAGCAATCTAGTTAGATATGCATTAGATTCTGTTTTGTTTAAATGGCTGATTAAAATAAGCTGTGCTGAATGGAATGTGTATTCCTCTTTTTGTGTCCTTTTGTAACTTAAGGTTTAGCCTAGAGGGATTCTCTATGTTTTGAATCTGATTACCCTGTAAGGTATTTACCATCCTGATTTTACAGAGGTGATTCTTTTACTTTTTCTTTAATTAAAATTCTTTTAAGAACCTGATTGCTTTTTCATTGTTCTTAAGATCCAAGGGTTTGGGTCTGTGTTCTCATACGCAAATTGGTGAGGATTGTTATCAAGCCTTCCCCAGGAAAGGGGGTGTAGGGCTTGGGGGGATTTTCGGGGAAAAGACGTTCCCAAGTGGGCTCTTTCCCTGTTATATTTGTTAGACGCTTGGTGGTGGCAGCAATAAAGTCCAGGGACAAAAGGCAAAATAGTTTGTAACTTGGGGAAGTTTTAACCTAAGCTGGTAAAAATAAGCTTAGGGGGTTTTTCATGCAGGTCCCCACATCTGTACCCTAGAGTTCAGAGTGGGGAAGGAACCTTGACACTGGTAAAACAGGTTTATGTGGGCCCTGAGTTGCAGGGCCAGCATTCATTCAGCCACAGTAGTGAGAGGTGCTGCCAATTTACTAGCAAATGAAGGATTGAGACCCAAAACTTACCATTTTTTCCTGTTGTTGAACTCTTAAGATGCTTGCAGGGCTTGGTAGGGAGGCAGGGGCAGAGTTATCTTTCTTTTTAGTTTGTCAGAAGGTGGAACCCTTTTGGACATGTGGAAACCCCGTATTTGTACATTCAGATCAGGTAATTACAAGCTGCATGTTTCTATATGCAGGAAGGTGCACATGATAAGGGAACCCACTGGAAAGATGGCACTGATGGCTTTGTACGTTTATCCAGGGTTTTGGGTGAAGTTGTGGTAACGTTAATTTCTCAGTCGAATTTGTAAATTGCATGAAATAGCTAGCTGTTCAATACTTGACAAATATCAGTCACTACAATATATTGTGAAATTTTAAAATAATCACCAGTCTTCCATCTTTTCATAACCTGCTGTAGTCACCTGCATCACCACCAACTCCTGTCTCCTCTCTGCTCTTAAGGCTTCTTTTATTTTGTTCCTCTACCCTTTTCAGCTCTCCGTAATGGGAGAGGACGTCTGTCCTTTCTCCTGTAACTGAGACATCAAGTAAGAGTGAGGCGGCAGAAACTTCTATATCCTTCACTACTTCTCCTTAGAAGCTATGGGGCTCTCCTATCTTTGGGGCAATCTTCAGGAAATTACTTAACCAACTGTCCACAAGTCAAATAATCATAGTAAAAACAGGGTTGATTAAAAATAGAGAAATAGTGGAACTAAAACAAAAGATATTGTTTGCTTAGCAGAGGAAGATTTACTTTTCCTATAAATTAAACAAGATGAGACACACTTAGTTTCATTAAAGCACAATTAAATGTGAATATCTTACATCTCTTTAAATCAATCACTGATTAGGCTGACAGCTTCCACTCCCTGTCTCAGAAAGTCTTTCTTTTAGCCTCTTTGGACTCTGGTTTTCAAATCCCAGATCCATGTCAAGTTCTTCGAAGTTCAGAGGAGCTTCCAGAGTTCATTATCATACTAGATACAGTGTTCTGTTCTGTGAGGTATTCATGCTCATCACTCAAGTATCTGAGCACCTTCCACTAGTTTATTAAGCAACATGACGACACATTGTAACATGTTTGTTCTCTCATCCTTTCCTCAGTTGGAGAAGTGTGTGTTGCTTGTGTGTGCAGTGGGGTGTTTTTCTTTGGAAATTTTTGTGTGTGTGCATGTGTAATGTTAACACATGCACATTACGTTATGTTTGTTAGAGAATGCAAGGTCACCGACATGTGGCTTGCACTTAGAGCAGAAGGTGGTGAGGTTTGTAATGTTCCTTAGTTCCCATGGAAGTTTATTCCACAGTCTAGGGCCAACCCCCGAGACAGCTTTGTCTTCTGTACAGAGTTTTTCTCAAAGCTCAAGTTCTTGGAGTAATAGGATTATGTGAGAATCTCAGCTTCTGGTTGTAACTTTTTTTTTTAAAAAAAAGAAGCTTCTAGCCCACATGGTTGCTGAGAAAAGCTTAAAAACGTGCACTTTAAAGGATCAAAAACCAAAAGGCAAATAAAAAGAACTCCAGTCTTCTTATTTCAATCTCATGATTTATAAGCCAATCTCATGGGTTTTGGACCTGACTCATTTTTATTTATTTATTATGAGCAGTGGGTTTTGGCAATACTGCAGATAGCCCTCCCCCCCATCTCCGAGTCCTATTTGTCACCACATAATCTTCTGAAGATAGATACACACCAGAGGTGATGGTAACCATTTGCATTCCCTATCTTCCAGGAGATTGTTGAGCGACGGGAATAAGGTCCTTCAGCAATGCTAAGGCCAGGACTAGACTAGAAACTTTTGCCAGCATGGCAATGTTGATTAGAAGTAACTAATTTTTTGCCACATTTCTATGCCAATAGAAGCCCTAATGTAGATGCAGATACACTAGCATAAAAGTGCGTTTGCCACTATAGCTTATTTTGCTCAGGGAACTGGTATAACCTACACCAGCAAAAGCGCTTTTTGATTAGTACAAGCTGCATCTATATTCAGAGGGTTTTGCAGTAAAGCTACACTAGCAAGACTTATAAGCATAAAGTAGATCTAAATAGATTCCTTTAAAATGCTTAACTCCTAACAGACAAATCTTCCACAGTTCTTTGCCTGCATTTGGAAAGGTATCTTGTACATTTTCCCCATTTACTCATAATATAATTTTATTCTAGTTTAAAAATCTTCACTGACAGAAACCAGCCCCTTGATCACAGTCACACATACTGGTGGGTTTTTTTATGATTGTATGCATCACAGTGCCAACCCTGTCCCATTGAAATCACATGGAGGTTTGCCATTGACTTCAACGACGGTAGGATTGGCGCTCATGTATCTCCCCTTCTGTTAAGGAATTATTAATACTGTCTAAATCCACTTGGCATATCTATAGCTGTTTCAAAATGGCTTTATCTCTATCCTAGTGAGATCATGCTCTTTATGAACATAAGAATGGCCACACTGGGCCATTGTGACATTCCCCAGGGTACAATCTGGACTGTTGAATAGCTGTTCCTATCAGTTCTCCAGTCTGGGGTGCCTTTTACATTGCCTCACTGTTAAAGCAACCGCTCCTGGCCTTGCTCGCTCACACACACACACACACACACAGCTTCTAACATGCAAACTACTCCCAACTATACTGCAAGGGTGCTTCAGGTAGCCATTCCTGAATTATATTGGAGAATGACACCAGCAAATTCTTAGTCCTAGACTTGTCCCCAGAAATATGCGTCTTGTACTGCCCAGCTGTTTCCTTCTGTGCAGTACAAGCTCATAGAAAGTATGTCATCTCAGTAATTGAAAATGCTATGCACAAACCATGTGATCTTAAATCTTCTTAGCATATGTGCAACGTGCCTTATCCATCACCGAATTTGGTCCACTGGTTGGATCATTAGTTTCCCTGGCTTGGGCTGGGTACTGATGGGGAGTTCGACTTGAACGCTGATCCATGCCCCCCATTGGGAAACTTAATTTCAGATAACAAACACTTTAATCCAAACACACACTGGTGTAGATAAAACAATAAAACAAGTTTAACTACAGAAATATAGATTTTAAGTGATTACAAGTAATGAGGCATAAAAGTCAGAATTGGTTACAAAGAAATAAAAGGTAAAATGCAAACTAATACCTAACTTACCAAGCTTAGCCCTGATCTACACTAGGACTTTAGGTCGAATTTAGCAGCGTTAAATCGATTTAACCCTGCACCCGTCCACACGACAAAGCCCTTTTTTTCGACTTAAAGGGCTCTTAAAATCTATTTCTTTACTCCACCCCCGACAAGGGGATTAGTGCTGAAATTGGCCTTGCCGGGTCGAATTTGGGGTAGTGTGGACGCAATTCGACGGTATTGGCCTCCATGAGCTATCCCAGAGTGCTCCATTGTGACCACTCTGGACAGCACTCTCAACTCAGATGCACCTGCCAGGTAGAGAGGAAAAGGCCTGCATACTTTTGAATCTCATTTCATGTTTGGTCAGCATGGCAAGCTGCAGGTGAGTGCAGAGCTCATCAGCAGAGGTGACCATGATGGAGTCCCAGAATCGCAAAAGAGCTCCAGCATGGACCGAACGGGAGGTACGGAATCTGATTGCTATATGGGGAGAGGAATCCGTGCTATCAGAACTCCGTTCCAGTTTTTGAAA